CAAACCAGGGTTTCAGGACATTTCGCACCCATTTTCTATCTTTTAATGGTGGTTTATTATGTATGCATTTTCGCTTCGCAAAATATAAAGCATTTCTAGATTCTTCACATTGATTTTTTTTAAATTGTTTGAGCTGACTCTGTTCATTAAGTTTATAAAGTATTGATCAAAAGTTCGTGGAAATATTCAAATTTTTTTGTGGATTTTCAAAACGTTACAAAATCAATCAAAAATGTTGGGCCTGATTGTAGTAAATGCCCTACACCATAATAGTTTCTGGAACAAGTATCTATCCAGGGATTCACCGACAAAAGGTCAAACGACGAAGGGTCAAACGAAAAGGGTCAAACGACAAAGGGTCAAACGACAAAGGGTCAAAAGTGCGACAAAGGGTCAAATGACAAAAGGTCAAAATGATAAAAATATTTTTTGATTTGAATCATTGGAAACTCGCAACCCTCCTATCAATTTTGTACATGGATCTTATATGTTAGACATGGATATAATTGACCATGTGGCCGCAGCGCTCGGCCCAGATAGTGTCTTAACTAACCTAACCCATGGCTGCAGCGCTCGGCCCCCTAGCCTGTCCTAGCTGCAGCGCTTGGCCCAGAAAGTGTCTTAACCTAACCTAACCCTAAATAATAATAAATAAATAGTAGCTGTAACAGATGTCAAAATTTAAAAAAAATTTGCCCCTTTGTCGCATTTTTTGACACGTTGTTGTTTTACCCTTTTTTGTTTTACCCTTAGTTGTTTTACCCTTTGTCGTTTGACCCTGTGTTGTTTGACCCTTTGTTGGTGAACCTATCCAGGTACTTCTCTCTGTTCCAAATAGCAGGTTTGAGATGGATAGATCATCTACACCCTGGTTCTTCTTGGGTTACGTTCTGCTCCGAAGGCTGATCAAGCTTGTTCCTCAGCAGAAGCAGTTTATGGTTCTCCATCGGTGCTTCCTAGGATGTGTACGTTACTAGACGCTCCAGAGTTCCCCTTGGAGGTGTTCAGGTTTGGATCTGTTCCATCCTGCATGGTTTCTCAGCTCTTCCTATTCATCATGTTTGTCCGGCAGCTCCTGTTGTTCATGACTCCTTGAGAAGTGCAACTCATGTTTGTGTTTGTGAGGATTTAACTACTCCTCCTCTTCATCCTTTGTTCAGAGTTCCATACCTGGTCCTTGAGAAGAGAGACAGTTAGGAACTTGAGCAGATAAAGCTTCCATTGACAGGTTCAAGGCAGAGTTCTCTACTGGAGTTGTTACTCCTCAGGTTCCTCTGGCCTGAAGACGTCCTCAGAGAGCTTCTCAGCCCCGGATAGCTCCGCTTCACTTTCTCCGCCTCGCTCCCCCACCTAGTTTTCCGCCAGCTCTTCAGAGTTCTCCTATTCCTAGAAAAAACCCTCCTAGAGTGACCAGACCACCATCTACAGCCTCATCTCCTCATCAACATCGTAGATGGTGCTGGGGGGGGACCTCTGTGGCGGGGTTAAAGATGATCTTTCTCTGAGCTCTAACCTAGCTGCCTCCACGTAACCGGATATTATATTGTGATAAGACTGTTTTCAGTTACAAGTTATAAAAATATATTTATTTTGATTCTCGTCTCACCTTAATTTATGATTCTTTTCTTCCTCTTGTAGTATTCATGACATAAGGGGTTTGAGTATGTTAAACCATAAAATTACCAAATTATTTCTCGGATATTGTTAAGTTTTTTTTAAAAAAGATCTTCTATTTGATATAGATAGATAGATAGATAGATAGATAACGTTTATTGCTAAAAATACATGCATCTGTGTACAGAACGAGTTTACAATTACAAATTGATGAGTTTATTAACATAAGTACAAGTATAAAGCAATTAGTTGGAAATTAACTCTTGACTGTTTTGATTATTTTTTCCACCTAATGATAACACATTTCAATTAAATAGATTTAAGGAGAACTATTAGAGATCAGGGTGCGATTTTATCTTTTGCAAAATAGTTTATACATTGATTAGAACAACTAGAGTTTAAAGTAATTTTCTGACATGTACACAACAAATATCAAAGCATATTAAAACATATCTAATTAGTTTTACATGAATAGCAATTCAGTTTATATCACATTGTAATGTAATTTTCAGAAAGAGAATTTAGTAGTCTTTTTTTAAATATACTTAGAGAGTTGCTTCTTTTTAAGTCAAGAGGCAGACTCTGATCAATCGAGACCCCAAACCTGTTCCATGAACAGGGATAATAAAGTTATAGAAATTTGGTAGAACCTATGTATCATGTTAAGGAGTTTACATTATCTTTATACTTGGATATATGTTCAAAAGAGAAATCATGTGTCTCTCTGAATAATTCACTTCTAAAATTCATTAAAACATGTTCTAAACCCTCCTCAAAAACATCTTGCTTAGCAACTATAAACCCTCTCTGCCTAATGGGACTTTTTTAAACTTTATGAACATCCTTAAGAAAACGACCGGTGCAAACTTTATAAACCTAAAATGTATGTTAACCAGTTATTATACTACAAAAATAACCTTTTGTATAAAAATGAACTTTAACCCTATGAACTTTAGTGAACACCCTCTCATACGTCTCAGACGTCTCATACCGAAGAGCGTAGCGCCCATACAAATTGAGGAAGTTGGAACATACGACTTAGACCGTAAAAAAAGCAAATCAATATCAAACAAATCATCAGATATTACAACCTATAGTCATCGATTATCTTTCGCCACATTTGTATATATTTAATATTTCATACTAGTTTTGATTTTGTTTTTTAAAATAATATTTAGCTTACAACTTGTTTTCGAACATTCCTGGAAAATATAAAAATGTCGTCTTCATTACCAAAAATCCTCGAAACAAGAATAAACGTTTTTATAAGTAACTCTCAGATCATAACAATTAAAACATATTATGAAAAATCAACTATATATAAATGTGGCGAAAGATAATCGATGACTATAGGTTGTAATATCTGAATGATTTGTTTGAAATTAAATTGATTTTTTTACAATGTAAATCGTATGTTGCAATTTTGTCAATTTGTATGGACGCCATGTTATTCGGTATGAGACGTCTTTAACAATTTTCTCTTTATAGACGCAACAGATAGAAGTAAGATTATTGGCGATCAAAAGCGCTTTTTTATCGCATTAAGCCTATACCCCCTTTCATTTTTCGCGAACACTCCCTTCAGACATTTGCACTCCAATATACAAATAATACAGCCTGAAGCTATACAAGATGGTGTTATTCAGATTTCTACCTGCTTTATCTACATCCTGTCCCAATAAACATGGGAATTCAGTGACGAATTCGATATCGTCTTTATAAATAATTCTTTGATTTAGTATAGTGATACCTACTGAGAAAGCTGTAATCTGTAGGAGTTTCGTCTTCTATGTTCACATTTTGTTTGTTTATATACAGGGTGTCCCAAAAAACATGGGAATTCAGTGACGAATTCGATATCGTCTTTGTTATGAATTAGCATTGTGTTACCTAATTTTAAAAGCCATAATATTATTATGTCTGCTAGAGTTTATTTTATGAAAAGGGTAAAAGACTGTAAAGATGTGTCTATATAATGTCTCCGCATGATGAACAGTGAATACGGACAAGTTTACTCTGTTTGTATACTGCAATTTTCTTGTTTTACTAAGTACAACGTATGCAGTCAAAACATAAACAAACAAAATGTGAACATATCAGACGAAACTCTTACAGATTACAGCTTTCTCATTAGGTATCACTATACTAAATAAAAGAATTAGTTAAAAAGACGATATCGAATTCGTCACTGAATTCCCATGTTTATTGGGACACCCTGTATATAAAGTATAAAGCTATAAAGTATATGTTTTGGCAACCTTGTGACACCTATGTTTAATGTAACCTCTAAAATGTACACAATATAACAGATTTACAGGATACAATGTTTATGAATGAAAATATTTAATAAAACATTTAATTAGTGTCCATTCTCATCATGAAAAAAAAAGATATTGTAGAGGAAATAATCCCTGAACGAGGATTATGAAATCCGCAAATCAGTAGTGTCGGATCTTGGAACCAGAGAAGACCTACTCAACTTCTCCTCCTTTTATTCACACGTTATTGATCATGTAATTATATCTAGAAGCAATAAATATACTTTTAAAGTAAATTCATTTTAAAGGGAGATTGTGTCAAAAACCAGTCACCCCCTGACTCCTTAAAATATCCCACTGCAGCCCCCCCCCCCTTACTTCCCATATAAATAGAACACATCAGATATCACTAAATCTCCATGTAATTCTAATTGCAGAAATAAAAACTAAAATTGAAAACAAAAAACATAAATGTTTTCTAATAAATTAAAACTTTTTTTAATTAACAATTAAACATAGACTAGAGTATGCAGTTTATACGAAGCTGTTTTGCAGGAAAGTATTTCAAGGTATTTTTTATAATTGTCAAGATTCTTTTATTTTCAACCAGTTAAAACCAGCTATCTTTAGAGATGGGCAACAAACGAAATTTATAGAACAAAAGAAATTTTTCGTGAAGAAGGGTGTCGTTAAGAAAATTTAACAAGGGACAAACAAAATATATAGTTCCTAGTAATGAAAAAATTATTGTTTTTAAAAACGAACAAAAAACTGAAAAACAAACATGAAAAAACTAAAGTTTTCACTAAACGAACGAATTTTCCAAAAAATCAGTAAAAAAAGGATTTAATCAAAATAATTTTTTTAGAACTTTATTTTTTTTCTTAAAGAACGATTTTATTGAACAAATGATTTTGCTGAACAATCGTTCAGTAAGAAAAAACAAATGATAAATAATTTTAAGAACAAACAAAATATTTTTTTGAACGATTAAAAAAAGAACGAAACTAAAAAAATTGAACATGCCCATCTCTAGGTATAATCGCAAAGAACCGGAATAACTAAGGTCGTCTTTGTTTTAATTCTCAACCTTTTAATTAGGAGAATAAAGCCTTTTATTTTTCAGGAATCTTAATTAGACAAATTTTAAAACTGAAAAAAAACATTTTCTGAGGAAGTTAATCCAAATCATTTACTTGGCAAAGAGTAAAAAAAAAGTATGCGTTTGATATTATTAATTCTTGTATTGATTTTTACAATAGAAAAGAAGATTTGTTAAGGCAAAGTAAATAGATTAAGGGCTTTATGATATTTGTAAACTTTTTTCAAGAACACTTGACTTTCTAATAGCCTCTTGTTCGATTTAATGTTTATAAATTTTACTTTTGCGCAAAGAAAATCAATTAAATCAAAATTAGAAGCTGTAAACAATAAACAACATGGTGAAATATAAATTTGTGATAAACATTGTTAAATGTTAACAACTGGAGTGTGTTTACAGTTTAAGTGTAAATTGAATGGCCCTCCATGCAAAGATGACAATACTAGATTTATTTTCACTTATTTTCGTTTGCGGTTTCTCTGCGCATTTCTTTTTAAAAGAGTATACGGCGAAATTATCGGAATTTTACACTTAATGAGTCAGAAAAACAATGTTTTCTTCCACATTTTTGATCAGATTAAGTTTTCTGGAGTACCGTTGTAAATCAAGCATTGTTATCTTTGCATGGAGGGTTACTTAGAATTATATTTACTTAGTCTTAACCCTATTCCTACTGGTTCCATGAACAGGGATAATAAAGTTATAGAAATTTGGTAGAACCTATGTATCATGTTAAGGAGTTTACATTATCTTTATACTTGGATATATGTTCAAAAGAGAAATCATGTGTCTCTCTGAATAATTCACTTCTAAAATTCATTAAAACATGACAAATTTGCAAATTTTTTTGCAGATTCTAAAAGTAGAGCACAAGAGCTTTCTAATGATGTATCATTTGTCATATTTGGACATAAAACATGGGATTTAGAGGGGGGGTCAAATTGACCCCCCCCCCCCAGCATATCCTGGTTTTCAAGTACCCCAGCAGGGATAGGGTTAAAACATAGTGTAGAAATGTAGCAGCCGGTCTGGTACGAGTTTTACCTTTATAGCTGAGCTCTTCAAATTTATTTAGCAGTTCTTATAGTCTAAGGGAAAAAGCTCATAACGTTAGGCTCTAACAGTGGTACGCGATTATATCAATACAATGACAACGTATTTGGAATGTAATTTGAATTAAAATTAAGCTGTTTAACAGTTGTATACACAAAAATATAGAAGTCAATTAGAAAAAAAGCCTCTCCATTATTACTTGTAAACTTGTAATTCGAAAAAAGCTTGTTAACAGTCAAAACTAAAATAAAAAAGTTGTCTTCATTGTAGTGATATAAACGCTTACCACCGTAGTATTTTAATATCTACCTCCAAATAGAGATTGACATCGTTATTTCAAGCAGACAAAATTTTCAATTAAGAGTCTTAAAAAATGAGAAATGATGCTCAAATCAAATGGATCTTTCAGAGAAGTTAAAAACTACAGAACAAAAAACAAAAGTTCTAAAGTTACTAATTATCGTTTGCATTTTATACATGAACGATTTCTAAATTATTCGTTCAGATGGACATAAAGAAACAATCGGTGAATGAACAAATTTTTACAAGAACTTTTGTAAAAACTAATTTTTTTTACAGCAGGAACGTTTTTCTTAAAAAAAAAAAAATTTCAAAACAAATTTTAAAAACGAGAGTAATTTTCCTGAAAAAACGATTTTTTCGAACAAATCTACCTTCAATGCTCTTTTAGTACTCTACACTATTTTGTTTAGAATGATGAAATGTTTGATGCTGGTGATCTGTTTAACAATGGAGGTTTCAACTAAAATGTATCTTATTCAGACAGCAGAGGTATGTCTGCATGGAAATTTTTAAGGGTAATTTCAGGGGACTCTTCCACTATAGTTTCAGTAGAAGTAATTTCATTTCCATTTACTGATAGCGACGATATAAAGATTTATCAAGGGACTCTTCCACTATAGTTTCAGTAGAAGTAATTTCATTACCATTTACTGATAGCGACGATATAAAGATTTATCTCTATTCGGATAATGCGCTGGATACAAAGATAGATGTTACCGCCATGCAATTTCTATTGGTTTAGAATAGACACCAAACTCATGGCTGAACCCTGATTGGATCAGGCGCTAAGGGACTCGGCATCAGGAGTGTTTCGTGCAAAGACCATGTCCGATTTTCAACAATACACTTGATACCAATATCTGATTAACAATGTGGAAGATATTGTCATTTTTTATGTTTAAAAGTCTTGACTTCTAAAATGTGCAAGTCACTTTTGTCCAGAAACTACATTTTAAAATAATAAGTTTTCAAAATTACAGATTAGAAGATTAATAGATAATTCAAAATTGATCCGACAAAGCTTTTAAGGATGCTGTTATGAATTGGGCATTGTCATCTTTTTATTGAGGGTCACTTGAAATTACGCCTACAGTCCCTTCAAGGCAACATTGTAAAATAAGGTAGGTCACTCTTGATGTGCTCTGATGTAAGGAAAATGTTGTCTCCTAAATTTGATAGTAAAAACCTAATATTACATTACTCGCTCCTTTAAAATGAGTGACGTCGTTTTAGGTTTTTATCTCCAGTGGCGTAAATAAGGGGGGTTATTGGGGTTATTTACCCCCCCCTAGAATCCTGGGGGTAAATACTCCCCCCTAGAATTCTAGGGATAATTACCCCAGAACATAGATTCAGGCCCTGAATAGCAGGGGTTACTCCATTTGCTGCCTCTACAAGAAACAGTTCCAGTTGCCTTGACCCCTTCCCTTAAAAAAAAAAATGCCTAAACTTTTACTTCGGTTACTTCAGTAAAACTAAAGTTCACTCGACACACACAACTGGTTATAATAAAAAATATATATTATGAGCTAATTTCCTAAAATACGATTTTTGAACCCCCCACAGCCCCCCCCTGCCCGATCCTTTTGTACATGGATATCTTATCATATGTAAGACATGGATATAATCAATTGACCATGTTGAAGGAGCGCCCGACCCCCTAGCCTTTCCTAGGGCCGCGGCGCTCGGCCCAGCCCCCTAGCCAGTCCTAGCCGCAGCGCTTGGCTCCTGCCCCGTAGCATGTCCTAGCCGCAGCACTCAGCCCAGAAAGTGTCTTAACCTAACCTAACCCTAAATATATACTAATTTTACTGAAAATTGTTCAAAAAGTGGTTAAAATGAGTGGAAAATGCAAATCAACCCCAATTAAAACCAATAATTTGATATACATCATGATATTTTTCTAGGGGGGGGGTAAAAAAAAATTCGGCGCGCTTCGCGCGCCAAATTAAAGATATTTACCCCCCCCTACAGAATCCTTATATACGCCCCTGTTTATCTCTCTATCTGTCTCAGGAGACGACATTTTCCGTACATTGGAGATGAGCATTGAGAGTAACCCTTCTTATTATACAACCTTGCTTTGACTTATGTTATTTATATTTTTGGAAAAATTCTTTTTACTGGTAAAACTTTTGAAAATAGAAGTAGTCCTTGTTAAGGGAAAGAACCCCAAAGTTCTTTTATTAAAATAAATGTAAAAAAATTATCAATTTAAAAGTAAATGACAAACAATTTACAAATTTGTAATTTTTTTATTTTTTATGCCTGATCATAATCTGAAGACTCGTCTCCAAAGAGTAATCCAAGTAAACAAAATTTCCTTCAAATTCCCTAGAAATTCCCTTTAAAATTTCCTTCATATTCCCTAAAAATTTTCTAGAAAATTCTCTAGAAATTTCCTAGAAATTCTGTAGAAAAACCTTTAAAATTTCCTTGAAATTGTCTTGAAATTCCCTTTAAAATTTCCTTCATATTCCCTAAAAATTTTCTAGAAAATTCTCTAGAAATTTCCTAGAAATTCTGTAGAAAAACCTTTAAAATTTCCTTGAAATTGTCTTGAAATTCCCTTTAAAATTTCTTATAGATTCCCAAAAATTCCCCTTTAAAATTTCCTTTAAATTCCTTAGAAGTTTCCTAGAAATTCTCTAGAAATACCCTTGAAATTCCCTTGAAATTCTTTTGAAATTTCCTAGAAATTCCCTTGAAAATCCCTTTTCTTTTTGTAAATTATGACCAAAAACATTTTATTTCTTGGTACTAGGTTTGGACAATTAAATCTGGGTTTTTTTTTACTGTAATCGTAATATATATCAATACGATATGAAGACGACTTTCGACTTCAATTTGATTTCTACTAAGTAATTCAAACAGCATGTATTATACATAAACATAGAAACATAGAGCAGCTGTCAATTAACCTTATCTCTGCTGTTGTACTTGAAAACCAGGATATGCTGGGGGGGGGGTCAATTTGACCCCCCCTCCCTCTAAATCCCATGTTTGATGTCCAAATATGACAACTGATACATCATTGGAAAGCTCTTGTGCTCTACTTTTAGAATCTGCAAAAAAATTAGCAAATTTGCAAAAATTGTTTTTTTTTTTCGCAAAATCCAGTAATATAGTAAAAATGCTTGCAAAAAAAAATTTGTCCAAAAAATGAAAAATTATACATTTTTGACAAGCCCTTAATTGACCATGCCATTTCAAATATGCAAAATTTTAAATAACCTGATTTTTAATCAAGAAAAACTAAAAATGTGCAAATTTTCTTTTGACAGGTTGTTTGCAAAAAAATTGCAATTTTTTTTCGTGAAACTTGTGAAATTCGTTTCCTTATGTCAAAGGCTTTCCAAAAAGCAAAATTTTATCAAAATCTGACAAGGAATTGGGTCAAAACAAAGATTTAGTTTGTTAAAGGAAAAAGCAGTCATTCAGGCAGTGTGCCTGAGGACTCAGGCAGTTAGTATTAAAGCCCGGTTTTAGGCCTAAAGGGAGGGCTTTGGGTATGTAGGAAAAGTCAGAAAATTTCAACAGCCTCAGACCAATACTTTTTGAGTTATGTAAAAAAAACTACAGGGGGGTCAAATTGACCCCCCCCCAGCAGGAATAGGGTTAACACATCCTTTTTGTTTACTTGTAAACTTGCAATTTAAAAAAAGTTTTTAAGGAATAAAACTTATTTTCAAAACTTAGCAAAAAAAGGTTTATAGGTTTTTAACACTTTTCTTGAAACTTGGTTTGTTGAAAAACAATATTTTTTTAGAGAAACATGGGGGCCTCAGCATCAGCCATTTCCCCCTTCGTGGCTCCTGCATCGGAACCTAACCTGCATTCTTCCAAGGATCCATCAGAGCCTCGAAATCCCTTAAACAGATTGAGTGTCTCCTACTCATCAGATTATAATAACGGACTGGCGCGCCTAGGCTCTGAGTGGTGGTTATTATAAAAATGGACTGACGCCAGGCTCTCAGTGGTGGTTATGATTTTAAGTAGTTAAATAAACATGAAAACAAAGCAATTTGATCAGATCAATTTTACTTAATTTGCTTTCGAACTATTGGTGAGCTGTGTCCAGAATATTGTTATAATGTTCACTTTCTATTTCACAGCTGTATGGGTTATCACTATAGTTTCAGTAGAAGTAAATATTTCCATTTACTGTTGTAGCCCTGATATAAGGATTTATCTCTCATTGGATAATGAGCTAAATAAATTAAAGAGATAGATGTTACCGCCATACTATTTCTATTGGTTCAGAATAGACCACAAACACATGACCGAACACTGATTTGATCAGGCGCTAATGGACTCGGCATACAGGGGTGGTCTCACTGTACAAAAGTTGGTTCCGATATTTTATAAGAAATTTGCAATCAAAGAGAAATTAGAACGGAGCAGCTGTAAAAATGTTGGATTAGCATCCATACAAAGAAGGCAATGCCGGACTCACAACGGTACCCTTTAATCTTTCTCTGCTCAGGTATCAATATTCATAGCTTTCACTGAGATATAACCAAGTCTGAAAGTTTGATATCAACTTTTGGTTTTGCTTCACCAATTCACATATACGTTTTACATTGCACATTTTAAACTAATTTTTAAAAGATGGTTTGATATTTGCTTTGCATCGTCTACTAAACATAATTCTTGTAACAAATTCCAGGAAATTTTTTCACCAGATTTTCTCGTAACAATTTCCGGAGAAAATCCGGTGAAAATGTCGCCAGGTTTTCCGGGGATTTTCCCGTAACAAATTCCGAAGAATTTGATTCAGGAATTTCACGAGAATGAGTTCCCCAAAAAACGAAAGAAATTTTCGAGTCCAATTCTGGGGAACTTCTTGTAACCAATTCCGGAGAAAATCCCAAAATGAATTCCCGAGAAATTATTGAATCAAATTCTTCGGAATGGGTTACGGGAAATTCCCCGGAATACCTGTCGACATTTTCACAGGATTTTCCCGTGAAAGATTCCTGGGAATTTCCGAGGATTCCTGGGAAAGATTCCGGGGAAATTCCGCGGATTTTCCACAAAATTGTTACTTGGGAACCTTTGTATCGCCCTGGGCTAATTTTCAGAAGGCCACATGCTTGATTCTTGAGCTTAAGTCAAAAAGGACTAATTGGAGAAATACTACTTAATTTTTCCGGGAAAGAGTGTTCTCTTGGCTTGCAATACTTTTAAAACGAATTATCTTTATTTGCAGTTTCTCTGCAAAAGTAACTTGCACATTTTTACTGCATGAAAGCATTTAGGAATGTTCATAATTTAACTCTTTGTAAGTTGAAAAACGACAACATCTTTCACATTATTGATTAGATAAAGGTTTTAAGGGTAACATTGTGAATTTCAAATTGCCATTTTGCAAGGAGAATATCACATTAAATAACGCTTACAGTCCCTTTAATTCAATAGCTTGAAGTATTTGAATAACGACGACTGACTTACTTCTTTAAACTTAAACTATGGTACACGAAAAGACTAAGTTAATTTTTGTCTACTCAGTTTAACTATCCGTCTTGCTTATCATAAAATATTATAAAAAATACTTAAATTTAATATATTCTTCCCCTTTTAGTGTATTCTTTAAAGATCCGCTTTTATTGATTTTGTTCTCGTAATTAGTATTGTACTCGTATTCAAAGCACATTTGCACATTTGAGATTGCTGTAAGAAAGGCTAAAGGGTATACTATAGTAAGAAAGGTGGAGAGCTGAAATGTTCAAAATGGAAAAGGTGGAAACCTTAAAAGGTTGAAGGCAGGACGGTGGAAGTCTGAAAGGTTAAAATTGGAGGGAATTTGTCAACGAAAAATCACTTTTTACAGCAAAAAGTTTACAACATGCCATTTTTTCAAAAAAATAAGCTATATATTATCGCTAATTTGGCAGCCAGGCCAACTTTAGATGCTAAATTGTTATTTCGCAAATTTAGAGTGCATTTAGCACAAAAAATTGGACCCCCTTGGATACGGTTTTGGTAATAAAATTTATTACAAATTAAATATATAGATTTGTTATTTCATTAATCTGTTACTTTTTGGGGCCTCAATGGGGGCACTGGCTGCTGCTAATGTCTCATATGGGTTGACGACGGGTGCTGTGGCCTCCAAAGGTGCGGTGGGGACTTGGGACTGCAGTGGGATGGTAGGAGATGCTGGGGCCGGGACTGAGGCAGTTTGCTCAAGGGGGTAAACAGCTGAATTTATTTCTGGAGTAGATTCTACTGGTAAGACGGATGGTAAGACATCTTTTCTCTAAAAAGAATAAATAATTATATATCTAAATAATAAGTCACACTAAACTAAGCTAGTGGGGTTGCACAGTTAGACTTATTATTAGCTGGGTACTGTACAAAGCCTGCCGGGCCAACAAAGTTTAAACTGAACCGGTTGGGTCAGGTCAGTACTTGCTGCACTTTACGATCAGACCGGGTAAGTCCGCTTCGAATTCAAATTGACCTTAGTCGGCAATGACCATTTCAACTATGACTTTGAAAATTATGTCTTTTTAAGTTATAAAAACATGTAAAACCCCAGTTTTTATTGAAGATCAAAACCCCTTTCTCCCCCCTCTGCAGCTGTTTGGTAGAGAGCCAGACTGTCAAAAAGTCCAGTTTTGACTTAACTCAGTAAACGTTTTTTTTATAGCGTATTTTTACACTTTGATAGATTAACCCTATAAAGGCTGGGAACTCTGAATCTATGTATAGCCTGGGGGGCGTTTGGCGCTCCCCCCCCCTAGAAAAGGCCTTAGAGAATCTAGGTCTAGGGTTGAAATGCATGTTAATAGCCCAACTTGTCAAATCCAGTTAATACAAAAACTTTAATAGTTTGGGTGCCAGGGAGGGTTGAAAAAAAATGGTTCAAAAGGGTCAAAAAAGTGAGGGAAAAAAAATATTTTTTTGGTTTTAAACAAGTATCAAAGTGTGACACATGTTTTTACATGCATTTTTCAAGGGCTTTTTAAAAATATAGTTTTTAAATAACTGTAGCTTTAGTCAAAAAAAAGTTATGGGCTATTTGGATTTTTTTTTTCAAAGACCAGACTTTTTTTCGCCCTGTACCCTGCCCTATAAATAAAAAAATAACAAAAAATCCTTTAAATTACTATAAAAAATTTCTCAGTGATAGTGTCAAAAAGTGAGAGTGCTAGGACAAAAAAAAACTACAGGTGGGGCACCAAACGCCCGTCTGTTTAGGGTTAATACAATTGTTTTTATGGTAATTGTGTACACACATATATACAAATATACTGATTGATAATTCTGAATAGTTTGCGATGACAAGTATCTAAGCTTGGAGTACACACTAAAAGTTTTTATTTTATATTCTGATATTTTGAACAAATATTTAAGAATTGTACACAAACATATTTTTGACTGTTAACCCCATTCCTTTTGGGGGGGGGGGGTCAATTTGACCCCCCCCCCCTGTAGTTGGTTTTACATAACTCAAAAAGTGTTGGTCTGAGGCTGTTGAAATTTTCTGACTTTTCCTACATACCCAAAGCCCTCCCTATAGGCCTAAAACCGGACTTTAATACTAACTGCCTGAGTCCTCAGGCACACTGCCTGAATGACTGCTTTTTCCTGTAACAACCTAAATCTTTGTTTTGACCCACTTCCACTTGTCAGATTTTGATAAAATTTTTACTATATAACTGGATTTTGCGATAAAAAATTCAATTTTTGCAAATTTGCAATTTTTTTGCAGATTCTGAAAGTAGAGCACAAGAGCGATCCAATGATGTATCATTTGTCATATTTGGACATCAAGCATGGGATTTAGAGGGGGGGGGGTCAAATTGACCCCCCCACCCAGCATATCCTGGTTTTCAAGTACCCCAGCAACGATAGGGTTAAATATAAAGAAAAATATTAAGTAAAATGATATGTCAATTTACAAATTGAATGACCACAACTCTCTGTCTACTGTTAAATTTCAAAAAATGGTTTCATTGTGAATTTCTTAGTTTGTACAAAAATAAAAGAAATTCATTTTCCACTGTTTCTCGGAGAATATCCCAGTTTTTTTGCCAACAAAATGGAAATTTTTGAATTTTCGGTTCATTTATGTAACATTGTACAGCCTTATTATCACAATTTATTGGAACGTGAATTATGATCGTAAAAAATAAAAATAAAAAGTTATCTTAGGGTTTTTTTGTTTGTTACTTTTTAATTGACAGTTATTTCCGTTAATTTTTCTAATAAATTGACTGAGCGCCGGCTCAAATTTGAAACAATGAATACAATTTCAAGTGGAACCAGCCATGTTTGAGCCGCGTTTAACATTTGAGACGTGGCTCAAAGTGTTTAAATTCGGCATCTGTTTTTTATGTTTCCCTGGTTTCAAAAGTAAATAATCAGAATATTGCTCACTCCTTTAAAATACAGATAATCATGAACACAACGTTATTGCAGTACAATAGTTCTAAAAAATTCTCATTTTTTTTATACCATACTTTATCACGTACCTCTGACCCTTTAGTAAAAGTAAATTCAACCTAAAGTCTGACCGCGTCAACCTTGTTTCACCGGCTAGTCCTATTGAGTGTCTGCCTTATTTACCCAATGTCCGGGCGATACATTACAAACTGGGACCGGAAAGATTGACCCGGCTCGGAAATTCAAATTTACTACTGCTGCCCGTGTTATACCTCTGCAGTTTCAATCAGATATATTTTAGAAGAAACTCCCATAGCCAAGCAGGCTGCCAACATCAAATATTTGATCATTCTAAAACCAAAATCTGTCATATGTTTGTTTATGCAATTTATTATGTATAATCGTGATGTCATATGTAACTTGTAAGTGAATTAGTCGTGTACTAAGAATATTTTTTATTAAAGTAGAGAAATATGATTTTTTTGTATGTACTTGGTGATGAAAACCCGAAGGTCTTTGACATTGGGTTACACAGATATAAGTATAATAAAGGTTTGTAGCAAGTTCTTAGTTCATGTAAATTGTAAAATGTATATTGTACATATGCAGCAAATTTTTACTACCTGATAAAGAAAGTTTATGTTAAACTGTTAAGTATACACTGCAGAAATAATAATAATTCCATGAAAAATTATAACTTTTTTTCAAAAACATTTAGTGTTTATTGTTAAGCATTCGTGAGCACAAATCCTTTGATGTTATTTTTTGTTTATAAAATTGAAAGCAAATGCAAATTGATAACTCTATAACTATATTTTCAATATGCAAATCTGCTAATATTTCTATAACTAGGTTTATTGATTTAAAGGGAATGTACAATTAATTTCCAGTGACATTGATAGAGCACTCTGGGCCGTAGTAAATTTGAATTCGAACAGGACCTGCCCAGTTTGTACCGGCCTGCAGCCAGATAACAGCGTGTACTGCCCCGATCCTATGGTACAGTACTTCGCCTTAACCAGACTAACATACGAGAGGGGTCAATTTTCTTGGCATAGTCCCGAAGGAGAGCTAACTATGACAACTCCCATGGCGCATTCAGACTTTTTACAGTACCCGGCCTAATCCTAGGCCTATTTGACCGACCCCACTGGCTTAGTCCACCATGAGAGTGGCATGTCTGATTAAAAGCATTGACTGATCCAGTATTAGATATTGATGCTTTATTTTTGGAGAAAAAAAAACTACAACAAAATAAGAATGAGAAAAACATAGTAACAAAAAAATTATATTTGGTAACGCATCCATTTACTGGAACTGAGTGTTTATGGCTTTTGAAATATATTGATTTAAAATTTTTGTTTTAATATTACAAAAAAAAAGATTAAAAATAGACGAAATATTGCATTATAAATTATAAAAAGTTTAAAATGATTTATTCTATATTTTATCTTCTGAATATTTTAGGGTGCCAATAATAAAAATGCGCAACTTTTATTTAAAAAATCCATGAATTTGCAGTTTAAAAATCTGCAGGATGAAGAAAGGTTGGAGGAAAAGGTAGGAAAATTTAACAAAATCAAAAGTTTTAAAAAAATTTTTGATATTATCTTTTTATTTGACCAAGTATTAGCGGAACTGAGTAAAACAAAACGCTGTAAATAAGAATTAGTGAACATAGTATATATATATTCTTTCTAGTTTCAAAGCTTATACAAATCGACATATCCTGATAAGAAGTTAAAAATAATAAATCATATATGTATGTATATACTTTGCTTGTCCGTCTGGGTTTTTGTTTGTTTGTCTGTTTGTATCCAATAAACGGCAAAACTGCAGAACTGATTGGACTGAGAACTAAGGGACCTCACATGGCCTTTAGGCTGTAAGGAAAGTTTATATTTTAATTCTGTGATCTTTATTTGTGTTTCTATTATATTCAAAGAGAAGATGCTCACAGATCAAAAGTTGAAATAAAAGAGAGGCACGAAGGGCAATACAAATTCAAGCCTAGCGTAGAATCCCCCCGGGGCCAGTTAGATATTTGTTTATGCTTATTAACTTTATCTCTACTTATTACAAATTAGGAGAGATTGTCACGTTCGTTTTATTTTATCTTTATTAATCCTTCAAAAGAATTTATATCCTTTGTTCTTAAAATTTTCCATCTATTTCGTTAGTGAATGAATGATTGTTCAGTAAAATTGTGCTTTCAGTAAAAAAAAAAAAACGTTTTTTCATTTCTCTAAATCCTCCATCGTTCGTTTTTTTCTGAAAGGGACAGTAAAGGAAAAATGAAAGGGGGTATAGGCTGAAAGCTAATCACTTTAGCTCTTGATCGCGACCCATGAAAGTTTTATCTGATGTTACTATCTCGAGAAATTGATATAAAACTGTGTTAAAATCATACGAAAGTTCATATATGTAAAATTTAGAAAATCTTAAACTTAAATCACGTGACCAGAACTATCACCAATGGCAGAGCAGTATACTGATCACGTGTCTCTGCCTGTATCACGTGACCACTTTACTGCACTGTCATTGGTGGATTTTCTGGTCAAGCAATTCGGACGTGTAAATAATATTATGAATTAAATCTATTAAAAATAGAAATAACAAATATAAAATTAGAATTGGAGTAAACCTAAGTAATGATTAGCTTTCTCGGGGATATTATCGTTTTCAGATTGGTTGCTTATTTGCTGAATTTGATCTATTTAAACCCACTACTTTTATACAAAATTGTATATATATTAATTTTCGTATAAATTTGACACAGTTGTAAATCAATTTCTCGAGATAGGAACATCAGATAAAACTTTCATGGGTCGCGATCGAGAGCTAAAGTGATTAGCTTTCAGTCTATACCCCCTTTCATTTTTCCTTTACTGTCCCTTTAACGACACCATTATTCACGCGCACGAACATTTTGGTTCAGTCTTATGAATTTTGTTTGTTTAAGACAAATGGTGCCCATCTCTAATTGTGATCGGTATAAAAAGTAGGATCAAGTTTATTATTTAGAAAGCCCAAGGTAAAATACTATTTAGTTTTGCATTGAAAATATTTTTTATAGCATGGGGCACTTTAAACCCTGAATAATCCCCCCCCCCCAGAAATGTCTCTATGTAGGTTTTTGTTTTGTTTTTTAAATTCTGGTAAAAAGTTTGAACCGAATGGAATAATCTTTGTAAAATATATCATGAAATATTGTTTACTTTATCATTCAGGTTAACTTCATGGTATATTTTATTATGGATGTGCTTTAATCTGATAAGTAATAATACAGTTTGTTTGATTCATTGATGTTTTTCAATACATTTGAACAATCAAAACTAAAATAATTTTTTATTTTTTATTTCTGTAAATAGTGTCTATAGAGAGAGACCGACCCTTTCCGCTCGAATTCTGAACGAAAAATCGGCTTTTTTCTCCGGCCAAGGTTGTCTTTGAAAAGTAAGACGATTACCAATCAACAGCGAATATGCTGTTTAGTTTACCCCGAAATTACCCAAATAAGTGAACGGTTCCTTTAAGGTTCTCTTCTTTTTAGATAATATTGTGCAAACCTCGGGACAAAAAAAATCTAAGGTCTGAACTTTCTCGATAAAGAAAAAAAATCTGGCTAAAAATTTAAAGCATATATGAACCATAAAATAATGTTTTAAATATCAGTAAACCAATTGATTATTCCATTGAAACATAATTTTATGAGACATTTTTAGTAACTCCATTTTTGCCTTGTCCCCGGAGGTATGATTGAAAAAGTAAGAATTCAAACAAAAATGAAATTTCTTAATTTTGACATGTGGTATTCATATATAAACATCAAACAGAAATAATTAGTAAATATAAAAATGCATTTATGTCCAGCTTAAAACAAACAAATAAAAAATTATCTTATTTGGCATGATACATCATGTTTGAAATGTGTAAAATAATAATTTCAAGGGGCCCTCTATGCAAAGAAGGCAATATCTGATTTGCAACTGTACCCTTGAATCCTTAATCTGATAAAATGCGGACGAAAACGTCATTTTTCTGACTCAAAAAATGTATAATTCTGGGTCTGAATCTATGCATAATCTATAACGGGTAGAGCTGGGCATGTGCGGCTTTTTCATTTCATTTGTTCATCGTTTGTGAACGACCCATTTTGTTAATTTTTTTCAATCATTCAAAAAGAAATTAATTTATTTGTTCTCAAAGTTTATTGTTATTTTCCATCTATATTTCGTATTTTTTTTCACTGAACAATCGTTTAGTTACAACAAACAAACAAAATGTCAAAGTTGTTTTAAAAAAAATTGTTTGTCTAACGCTAACTTTAATGGTTTGAGTGCTAGGGAGGATTTTCAAAACATGGTAAAAAAGGTTGAAAAATGTTTTTGTTTTTGTTAATGACAAATAAGAAAATGCGAAAAATGCACGTATTTGATCTGTAAATTAAACAACAAAAAAGTTTTGGACTTTACCCTAGGGCTGGGCAGGTTCCGACTTTTTTGAAATCGTTCCGTTTCGTTCTAGAACGAGGGCCTTCAGCTAAATCGTTCCGTTCTCGTTCCTCTTTTTTTTTATCGTTCCGTTCCGTCCCGTTCCGTTCCGTTCTGAGTAGAAGAACGGTCTTCCCGTTCCGTTCCGTTCTTGGCGTTCTTAGTTAAAGAACGGTTGCATCCCTCTTGTTCTGTTCTTAATCAAGAACGTTTCCATCTCCCGTTCCGTTCTTAGTAACGAACAATTACATCAAAGACAAAAGTTTAATAGAAAAGAGTTGGTTAAAAAGTAAAAAAATTACAAGTTTTAATAAAAAGTTTCTCACGGCCGTAAATGATACTTTTAATTATATAATTTTAATTTAGGGTTAAAAGAATAAGCTTAGATAATTCTGAGCAATGTGTAATTTTGTGAGAGCGGGGGGAGGGGCGGGAGTGCTATACGTTCCGTTCTTTTACTAATCGTTCCAATATTTTTAAGAACGCGTTCTAAGCGTTCGTTTTTTTTCGGAACGATGGGATCGTTCTTGATCATTCCGTTCGTTCTCGGGAAAGAACGATCGTTCCACCAGCTACTGCAGACATTTGACCCTCATGCTTTTAAAGAAATTCAAGAAAATTTCATAGTGATACCGCAAATAATGAAAATGTTGATTTTATGGTTTATTTCATGTGTTATAAACTTATCACGCACCTCTACCCTTTTAGTAAAAGTAAATTCAACCTATTTGAAGCATAAACTCGGACCGTGTCAACCTTTTTCCACCGTCTAGTCCTGTCCATAGATAAATAAATAAACATAGATAGCTTATGTACGCAAAATCACCAAGAATTGTACAGTCCGCGAACTCATACTTCTAGGGGTCAAAGTGTACTTCAATGATAAGCGGGGTGGGTTGATGTTTTAATGGATTTCATAATAGAGTGTAAAATAACTCCGGGAATGGAACTATTTCACTGAGCAATATATCATATTGACGAGAACTGAAGGAGGACATGAGAAGGACTAAACTAACTTAAATTTATCTCTATACAGAACTCATGTACACCACATTACTCAATGACATTAGAACAGCCAATGTTCACAATCGACCTAGTTAATCTATACAATAGGTTTATCTTTAAAACATCTCTGTACATTTATATCTTTTAAGATGAAAATATCGTCTAATTCGCAATCTATCTTTATCTATGGTCCTGTCCGTAGAGCCAGATGCAGTACAAACTGGGACCTGAAAGGTTGACCCGACTCGGAAATTCAAATGTACTACGGCTGCCCGTGTTATATAGATCTAGACTGCTATGAAAAGTTACACGAATTTTCAAGACTGGATTGACTTTAAAGTGTCGCAATAGCATTTGATTTTACTGCACTAATTCTCTATTAAACTTGTAGCCCAAGACATGTCCTTTTTAGAACTATAAGCACTTGGTTTTAGCTTTATTTTGTGCATTGTATTTTCTAGGCGATTATATCAATATAATGAAGACAACTTTTTTATTTTAGTTTTGATTGTTGACAAACTTTTTTGAATAACAAGTTTACAACTACAAGATTTTCTGATGAACAGCTTCTCAGTGTTTCCTTTTTTTAAAATTGAAATCAAAATTGAAATTGAAAGTTGTCTTCACTATATTGATATAAAAGCCTACCACCGTATGTAATACGAAAGAAGCATATTTTTTTATAGTGACATTTTACAATCGTCTTTGAACTTTGAAATAGTTTGCAGCATTCATTTATTAATATAATTTTTAATTATTCTTGATGAAATGATAATCATAAAATTATTATGCAAGAATTTTGGTTAGATTTTATTTTATTCAATGAAACGAAAAATATATAATGTTGACATTTATATCTCTGGTGACTTTGGAATAGAATGTTTAACAACAAATTTGTTTATTTTTAACGATTATTTTTATATATCTAATTTTGTTGGATCTTGGATTTTATTGTTTAAAGTCAGGGTTTCACTGTCACACATTTTCCTTTATTGCATACAACCATTGGTGAATAGTCAGAACCCATGCTTACACTAGTTTTAGATGCTGGGGTCTCAACAGTTAGTTCCGGAGTATAGTTCGAGTCTAATGGTAAGACATCATCTCTCTAAAAAAAAGCATTATCTTTTTTAATAAGCACCACAATGAATTCAAGTAAATTGTCCAGAAAATTACCTCTGCAGTTTCAATCAGATATGTTTTAGCAGAAACTCCCATAGCCAAGCAGGCTGCCAATATCAAATATTTCATCATTCTAAACACAGTACTGTGTGCCAACATTGAACAGTATTAACTTTAAACCAGCTGGACATACGTCTAGTTAAAAACGTACGACATCAGAGATCGAGTACAAACCTCAGAATTGTACAAAGGTTTTACTCAACAAACAATTTTACTGAGTGAACAATTTTACTGAACGATCGTTCGGTGAGAAAACGAAAAAAAATAGATGGAACATGAAGGATCATTTTGAGAATGAACGAAATCATTTATTTTTGTATTATTAAACAAAAAATAGGTCGTTCACAAACGATGAACCAACAAAGTGAAAAAAGTCTAAGGTACCCATCTCTAGTTCTGATTGGTACGTTAATAAGAAAAAACATTGGATTCATAAAAATGCAGTCAATTTTGAAAAGACTATATTTAAAAGAGGCAAACTATTATTTTTTATAAAAACCTCTGGATTCTTGTTCTTTACGCTCTCGGTACAGTTTATGGCCTATAAAATTAGTAAAGGATTAGCGGCGTACATCATCACTCTAAACACCATAACCTCGTTGGGTTGATTCCACTTAAAATTGTATTCAATGTTTCAAGATTTAAGCTGGCGCCTAAAACATGTTTTTGGCGGATTTGAGACGAGGCTTAAATTCATTAAATTAGGACTCTGGTCCGATGTTTGGAAGCCTGCTGTTTGGACTATTAGATGTGTGAGGGTGCTACCTGCGTATTATTATAACAAAAATCTTTTAAATATCCATTTAAAAATCTTACCTAGAGAACAGCACTGCACACAGCTTGAAATAGTATTTCTGAGAAATAAACTCTTGTAAAGTAATTTTATGTTTTAAAGATTTGTTTTTGAATCCCAATTAGTACAAAATTTGAAAATTTGCACTACCTGTTTGAGGGTGGTTTCTATACCACTGCTGGGTATTAACTGCAAAAGTAAGTATAAACACATTAAAAAATACATTTTTGTTTCAAAACATTAACTTAATAACCTTTTGTTTATCAAATCCGGAAGAAAATGTCATCAATAACGCTAATGATTTGTTGCTAAATATTTCTTTAATTAGATTTGAATTATAATTCTAATCAATTAGCATATATTCTTTATTATTATACATTCTACGTGTTTTGAACTTTGATTGTTGATATTCTTCATAAATTCCAGAAATTCCAGAATATAGAACACAGGGCTACCCATACAGTATGAAACTTTAAAGACGACCTCAAACTCTTTATATTTGACGATTCCGAGGTTAAATTAAGTGTTCTGCCTTTTTTGGCTTGTTTATTGATTAGGCAAAAAAAGCAACAAGTTTAATTACGGTTGCAGGGAAACATTCATTTAAGGACAAAGACAGTATAAGTTCTGTACAAACGTCTCTGAAGTTTAATTTTTTGTAGGTAACCCTATATGTTCTGCTAAAAACCCGAATTTTTATACGTCACCTTAAAAGGTTAAACCGTCATGCAAATCCCGGGTACAATCGTTAAAATAAATTTTTTCATTCTCAAAATTATCATACATTTTCATAAAAATATTTTTTTTCAAAAGTTTGTTCAAAAATATTGTTCATTTAGTAAAGTTTTTTAAAAATTGTGTTTCAGAAGTTTGTTTAGAGAACTGGAAAAATTATAGTTTTTTAAAAACAAAGGAATAAGAAATATTTAAAATTGTCTCAAGGAACTTGAGAAAAAGGAGCGTTCAATATGTTCAAAATATGTTTTATTGTGTCTTTACAAAATAATCTTTTTTTCATTTCTCTAATCGATCATTATTTTTCTGAACGACACTGTTGCTGAAAAAAATGTTAGTTATGAAAAATTTAATTTTTTTACAAAAAAGATGTGCAGCTATAACCCTAGGTTCTAGATTAGTTCTCGAACTAATTTCAACCTAGATTGTTTGTAATCTGTTCAGGTTTCTTTCTAATTAATTAGATAATTAATTAATCAATTACTATTGGGCATGAATCCACTAATCTTAAAGGGACTGTTTAAGGATTCTCAAAATCCAATTTACTTCAGTACCTGGTACATATTATTCTGAACAACAATAAGAAATATATCTTGGTTTTATAATTTGTTTATTTAACTCCTATATAACAACATTACATTTAAAATTATTAATATTTTGGTACATTTGAAAGTTTTAAAGGTTTAAAATGTACCATTACGTGTGGATGATAAGTAAGTAATAAGTACATTTACATCATCAAGAGAGTAATCAGGAATTTGTCCAGGGGTGGCTTATTTTTTTCCTTTCCAGGGGGCTTAGTCCCCATAGCCACCCCTCCCCTAACTATGCGTTTGATTTAAATAATAAAAATTGTTATCAGAGGGGTTTTTAAAATAAATTCACATGCACCTCTAGGTGTGCAATATTTTCAACTTTCTTTAACTACTAATTCCAAATTTTTAACTGCTGGAAATGTTTTTCATTTTTACTGAAAACGTATTGTCTCTACATGTAAAGATAGGAAATTGAAAACTTCTTTGAAAAAGTTAATTTGTGAAATATTTTTTAAAAAAGCGTATTTTTTTGCAAGGAAAGTTTTAAAAGTAATAGCGAGTTAATACTTAAAGAAGGGTTGAACCGTCATGAATATCATGAATACCTTTCTTCTAAACCTTTTGTCTCCGTTTCTTAGATTAGCATCTCTTTTGAATTTTGGCAAAAAGTCCTCCTTGAATGTACCCGGTTTCACTTCCTGGGTCTAATTTTAGAACATCTGGATTTTTGTCGCTGTACACAAAGGAGAAACTGTGAAGGATCTCGATCATCGCCACCTTAGCCTCCAACAGTGCAAACCTCATCCCTATGCACGCACGGGGTCCATGACCAAACCCTAGGAAGGTGTATGGACTTCTAGAAGCTTTTGCTTCTTTGCTAAAGTTTTCTGGATTAAATTCCTCTGGGTTTGGATAATAGCGTTCATCAGAGTGAATACCAATGACAGGGAGAAGGATAAAATCATCTTTCTTGACAGAAATATTGGTTTCTGGGAAGGTGTAGTCCTTGGTACATGTTCTAAATAAAACACCTGCTGGTGAATACAGTCTTAATGATTCCAATATGCACATTTCAAGATAAGGAAGCTCCTGAATAACTTGGTATTCTGGTAACGAACCGCTATTATCCTCAAAGGCTTGGTCTATCTCCTCTTGGAGTTTGGTTTGAACTGAGGGGTATTTGGATAGGAAATATCCCATTATGGCCAGAGTCATCCCTGTAGTATCATATCCAGCAACAAGGAAAAGAAGACTATTGGCAACAATTATATCTTCATTCAATTCTATGGATTTCTTGTGATGTTTCAGATGTACATCTTCAGGCTCATCAATATCAGCCGTTTCAATATTACTAGCAGGTTTCATACAGTCTAGCATTAAATCAATCAGATCATTAGCCCTGACTCCAGTTTCTCTTCTATGCTGAATTGTCTTGAGGATTATATCTTTAAAATATTTGGTTTCCTTTGGTTTAAAGAAATTTATATTAAGTTTTTGCTGAAGCCAAATGCTTCCTGGAATCATTCTTGTCATTAGCTTAATGTTATCCAAGACTGAAACCTGAAAAACACTGGCTGCATATTTAACAAAAACTCCAGAGTTATCTTCAAAGCTCTTGGGGTTCAGTCCAAAAGCACAACATGCTAGAGAATCCAAACTGAACTTGCCAAATTCTTCCTAAAAAAAAAGAGATTTTAATTAGTTCACTCTTAAAGAGGGTAAACATATTTTATCTTTACCTTTAATTCAAAATCCTGTCCGGATTCTGAAAGTTTATGAAAATCATTCTTTAGTGATTGTCCAACCTCCGCAATAAACTTGAGCATCCCTTTCATCTTTCCGGATGTAAATACAGGTGAGAAGGATGATCTTACATCTTTCCAAAGCTCCCCGCGTAATTCAGCCATTCCTTTAGCCCAAAGCTGGTCCATGTCTCCACCCTGAGCCCATTGACTTATGCTTTCACTGTTTCTATCTACAAAATGGTTGAAGTCCTTCACCATAACATTCCGAATCATATCAACATTTTTCACAACCAATGTAGGCTTTCCTAGCATGTATATGCCATAGAAATCCTCCTCCTTAAACTTTTCATAATCTTCTTTGACAAGCACAGTGATGTGCTTGGCTTGGGTAAGTAGCTCGGTATGACTGCCACAGGGGAAAACACCTTTAATGTGGGGAACACCTTTCTTCTCCCAATGATCAAAGTCCTTGGTGACATATCTGTAGAGGAGAAGAAGTAGGGTTAGAATCAACAATACTATCTCAAGTAGCATTTTGTATTAAGGTGAAGATAAATGTTTGTCTCTACTTTTATATTGAAAATATGTAATATGCCGTTCTGACTAAACCCATGTGTGAGAAAGAACTGAAGTGAACTGAAACGGCCGACAAGCCAGCATTAAATACAGAATAGTGCAGTATACCCCTAGGGTCATAGTATACACAATACACAGTACACTGCACAGAACACATTTGCGTCATGTAGGGCTGGGCATATATTCTGTAAATGACCAAATATCTAGAAAATTAAGAAAATTTGAATAAAAAATAAATAGTTAAATGTGCTATCAAGCAATTTGTTATAACAGCTAAAAAAAAGTGAAAAATTTATCAAACCCTTTTGTTGGATCATTAGATGGTTTTATTGTTTGTTGAAGTTCAATATATAAAAGGAAAGATTTTAGAAAATTGATTTAAAATTAGTTTAGAAAATAAAAAGAATCTTTATCTAATCAGTTAGAAACAAATTGTTACTTGATGCAATTGTCCTTTACGTTGATTTAACTAAATGTATTCAGAAGGATATTACAGAAAAACTAATCTGCCTATCCCTAATTTAGTCCACGGCCCCTACTCACTACCGTTTTCTGACAGGTTCAATGTATACACAAACCAGCGTACAGTGCACACTTCAGAGAGATAGATAGTAATATAACAAACATCTATTAAAGAGAAGGCAAATAGTAACTGCACATTTTATGAAACAAATGGAAAGAAATTAAGAAATTAAAAGCTAAACAAAAGCTAAGACCTAAAAGGAAATAATCAAAATCAAAAACAATTTAGAATGTTCTGGTCCATTTTTTTGGTTATAAACTTAAAAACAGACATGGAGAAGGGGGGGGGCGTGTGTTTTCAAACTCCCACCCTCTCCAGTTTGTTTCAGCTAGTCCTCCAAATTTATCACAAACCTTGAAATATTTTATTAATTTAAAGAATTTTTGCAAAATAATTTATAATTTAATTATAGGGTACATTACAGAAAAACGCCATAAAGTGCCTCACAGATATGTACGGAAAAACGGCAAAACCCGTATTAATTTTTTATATTTTTTCTTGATGTTTTTTCACTCTCTCTTGGTTGTTACAAGTATGCTGAACACGGTAAACCCATTTTATATGATTTTGTATATTTTTACTCTTTCTGTGAGCTTGTTCTATGCATTATATGAGTAAAATTCCCCAGAAATTTAAGATTTTTCATGTAGACCTAAAAATCGTCTCAAATGGTCATTTTTCAAAAAAAAATGTCATTTTTTCGGTGAACATCATAAATATATATTAAATTATCCGGTAAAGACTATATTGACTGGAACTGAAGGTGAGGGGAAGGAGAGTGGGATGGTTCTGAAGACACTGAAGGTGGAAGAGGAGAGTGGGACGGTTCTGAAGACTATATTGACTGGAACTGAAGGTGGGAGGGAGAGTGGGATGGTTCTGAAGACTATATTGACTGGAACTGAAGGTGAGGGGAGGAAGAATGGGATGGTTCTGAAGACTATATTGACTGGAACTGAAGGTGAGGGGAGGGAGAGTGGGATAGTTCTGAAGACTATATAGACTGGAACTGAAGGTGTGGGGAAGGAGAGTAAATATTGAAGACAAGGATGATGGTTTTAAGATAGAAAAGTAAAATAAACAACTTTTGAAGTTAATAGTTTAAGTTCAATAGTTTAAAGTTATATTTTGATTTTTAAAATAAAATAAAAATATTTATTTTCATTATGTTTTTTTTCCTCTTCAAAATTAATTTAAACCAATTCACAACGGTACCTCTTATACATTTATCTTGACAATAATGTTGCTCTATGCAATAAAAAAGAAATTGTTGGGTTGTAATCGGAAAAACCATTTTGTAAAGAAGCATCGAAAGTACAATTATTTACTATTCAACAACAGACCCATTTTGCTTTAAAAAGTTGGATTCTATAAAAATATCCTGCGTAGAACAGAATGAGAGCCTATAGTGTCCTAAATCTGTTACTTTAATTAATCTATAGGTTTGACTGTATGCCTCTAACCATAACAATGTGATATGTCTTTATAGTGACTTGGGTTCAGAGCCAAATTCTCTGATCAGCAAATTCACAGCCAACATTTCTTCTTTTCATCCATCTTTGTGTATCCTCTCATCCACAACCAACTTCTTTCTATTCATCCAATATTCATCCCTCACCCACTATTCTTATATTTATTTAAAATCCTGTCATCCCTGACCAACTATTCTTATATTCATTTAAAATCCTGTCATCCCTGACCAACTATTCTTATATTCGTTTAAAATCCTGTCATCCCTGACCCACTATTCTTCTATTCATCCAATATTATCTCATCCCTGACCAACTATTCTTCTATTCATCCAATATTATCTCATCCCTGACCAACTATTCTTCTATTCATCCAATATCCTCTCATCCCTGGCCAACTATTCTTCTATTCATCCAATATCCTCTCATCCCTGACCCACTATTCTTATATTCATTAAAAACCCTCTCATCACTTACCAACTATTCTTATATTCATTTAAAATCCTCTCATCCCTGACCCACTATTCATCTATTCATCCAATATTATCTCATCCCTGGCCAACTTTTCATCTATTTATACAATATTATTTCATCCCTGACCAACTATTCATCTGTTCATCCATATTATCTCATCCCTGACCAACTATTCTTCTATTCATCCAATATTCTCTCATCCCTGACCAAAAATTCTTCTATTCATCCAATATCCTCTCATCCCTGACCAACTATTCTTCTATTCATCCAATATTCTCTCATCCCTGACCAACTATTCCTCTATTCATCCAATAACTCTCATCCCTGACCAACTATTCTTCTATTCATCCAATATTCTCTAATCCCTGACCAACTATTCTTCTATTCATCAAATATCTTCTCATCCCTGACCAACTATTCTTCTATTCATCCAGCATCCTCACATCCCTGACCAAATATTCATCTATTCATTCAATATTCTCTCATCCCTGACCAACTATTCTTCTATTCATCCAATATCCTCTCATCCCTGACCAACTATTCTTATATTCATCCAATATCCTCTCATCCCTGACCAAATATTCATCTATTCATTCAATATTCTCTCATCCCTGACCAACTATTCTTCTATTCATCCAATATCTTCTCTCATCCCTGACCAACTATTCTTTTATTCATCCAATATCCTCTCATCCCTTACCAACTATTCTTCTATTCATCCAATATCCTCTCATCCCTGACCAACTATTCTTCTATTCATCCAATATCCTCTCATCCCTTACCAACTATTCTTCTATTCATCCAATATCCTCTCATCCCTTACCAACTATTCTTCTATTCATCCAATATTATCTCATCCCATGAGCAGCATGACATCCAACAGCACCTCTTCTTCAAGTCAGCATCATTGCAAAAACTGACTCTCCAGTGGGAGGTTGCGTGTTCTATTCTTCTATTCATCCAAAATCCTTTCATCCCTGACCAACTATTCCTCTATTCATCGAATATTCTCTCATCCCTGCTCAACTTTTCTTCTATTCATTCAATATTCTCTCATCCCTGACCAACTATTCTTCTATTCATCCAATATTCTCTCATCCCTGACCAACTATTCTTCTATTCATCCAATATTATCTCATCCCTGACCAAATATTCTTCTATTCATCAAATATCCTCTCATCCCTGACCAGCTATTCTTCTATTCATCCAATATTATCTCATTCCTGACCAACTATTCTTATATTCATCCAATATCCTCTCATCCCTGATTTACTATTCTTCTATTCATCCAATATCCTCTCATCCCTGACCAACTATTCTTCTATACATCCAATATTATCTCATCCCTGACCAACTATTCTTCTATGCATCAAATATTATCTCATCCCTGACCAACTATTCTTCTATTCATCTAATATCCTCTCATCCCTTACCAACTATTTATCTATTCATCCAATATTCTCTCATCCCTGACCAACTATTCTTCTTTTCATCCAATGTTCTCTCATCCTTGACCAACTATTCTTCTATTCATTAATCAATATAATCTCATCCCTCACCAAATATTCTTTTATTCATCCAACATTATCTCATCCCTGAGAGTCCTGCACTACAAACACAAAACAACAATTGTCTTGATTTATCGAAAACAAATTTCAAACACGCAAAAATATATATCTAATTCAAATTTTTCGAAAAAAACATTTTGAATAAAAAAGATTTTTAAGTTAAACATGTATGAAAATTTGAACAAATTTACATAGACTGGAATATTTAAAGAATTTCCGATGGTATTCACTTATATTTACAAAATTAGAATGAGTACCCACCCCATCCCAGTAGTTTTAGGAAGTACGTTAACAGGATTTCAAGTGCACTGGATTTCAAAAACAAATAAAGTCAAAGTTATGAACTCTTTTAAAAGATACAGGGTGTCCCACGAAACATGACAATAGGAAGACGACTTGAAAGTCGTCTTAATATATGTATATATATTTCAGTTTTTAAACTTCACATTTTATTAATAAAGAATTATACTATAAAACACAATGACGATCTTCAGTAGTCAAAATTCTTTGAACAACTAAAATTCCAACGTTTTTTCATCACATAAATTGCGTATTTTTTAAAACATTTTTTTGCAATAGTTTTCCTTTTAAAAAAACAAAGCACATAACTGCTATATGCAAATTATTAGATAGATATAAAAACATGATCACATTTTGCTAAATCGATGATAATAGATATTTTCTTCTAGCCGACATGTACTTGTTAATTAACTGCGCTGATTTAGAAGATGGCACGCACCTCTGACCCTTTAGTAAAAGTAAATTAAACCTAAAGTCTGACCGCGTTAACCTTGTTGCACCGGCTAGTCCTATTGAGTGTCTGCCTTATTTACCCAATGTCCGGGAGACACAGTAAAAATAGGAGCGGAAAGGTTAACCCGTCTCGGATATTCAAATGTACTAAGGCTGCCTGTGATGATGATGTGTAGATGTGAGCATAAGGTTTTTTCTGTGTTGCATAAATTGCGTCTCTTTTTGGTTTAATTCTGATATTTTTAGTATGCTTTTCTGAAGTAGAAATGCCAAGTCACTTTTATAGAGAAACCTCAATAGA